GCTAATTGGACCTAAACTGAATTTAACTTAAGCTGAAGAGAAGAGACCCTTAATCCTAATTGAATCCTTTGAAGAAGCCTTTAATTCTAATTGAATCCTTTGAAGGCCCCATTATCCAAATTAAATCCTTTGATATTCAAATGTCGATTAACATTCTTCAAAAATCCTAATTATAGTTAAACATTATTAACATTCCTCATTATAGTCAAACATGTAGGAGTTTATAAGTACTAATTGCGAAAAAACATGAATCATATTCATACAATACCTAATCCCAAGATCTAATGCATAACACATAAAGAACATATAATTGTACCTTTGAAGCGTGATTCCACGTGCGATTAAGCAAGAACAATGGGAGATAAAGAACCCCAAGCGTGGTTCCTCTACTTAGTCCACGGGCACAAATTAAACCTCCATTAATGCTAGTTAGTTGTGATTGAATGCTGCAATCAGCCTTCGACGGAGAAGAGAGACACGAGCTAACCACGAACACGAGCTAACCACGAACCACCACGATGAACACCACAAGCCACCACGAGGGGGCGCCGGACGTACGGACGAGGGGAGAGGGAGGGTCATGAGGTGAGGAGAGTGTTTAGGGTTTTGGGACTTGGTTGTTTGTTTCACAATCTATTGTATGTTGATTGTTCTATTCAACCCTAGGCATGGATCTTATTATAGATCACATCTCTAAATATATAAATAAGAGTCCATGTCAAGCCCAAACACCTTATCCCAAATACACTACTCTAGCTCAACACTCTACATGGTATGTCATAATCTCATGAGGCTCATCAATGGGTCTCTTACTTGTTTAACCCAATACCCTTGTTGTGTGACTTCATAGGATCCATTCTATTGGGATTTGGACTTTTTAACTAGCCCAAAGATCATTTGTCATATCTAGCACCAAACAATGACAACCCAAAAGAACGAACTTATTATCTCCATAATAGTGATCCTTGATATATCTAGTAATTGCACTTATTGAAGACACAATTCCTTCAGAACAATGTAATTGAAAGTTAAATCCTATATACAATCCTTATTGGAATTGAACTCAATTACCAATCCTAATATAAAATGAAATGCATTTAACAACCTTAAATGAGACTCAACTTATCCTAATTATAGTTAAAAACTATTCTTTTATTAATGAAAATATGATAAATAAATGCCAACAACACTTTATGTTCTTGATGTCAATATCGGACATTAAAGAATAAAGGTATGACATTAACACCAAATTCAATGACAATACACTTCTACCTCGTTGCTAATACCCCAAAACACAATCCCCCAAAACCCAAACCCTCTGTTAACCCTAAACCCCCAAACCCCATTGCATTATGACAATGTATATGTCAACATTACAATATATATGTTAATATGACAATATAAATAAATAAGATAACTATGTCTATAAAAAAAAATATTTCAATATGACAGTGTATATGTCAACACGACAATACATGATAAATGTCATGTTATCATAAATGTCATGTCATCATAAATGTCATGTCATCAGACAAACCCTCTGTCATGTTATCATAAATGTCATGTTATTCAACCTCATTTGCATAATAACGGACCAATCGTTGTAACGGTCTTGGAAAGCGCGCTAACGATGTATAAATATGGGCATACAAATTCATACGTACAAAATACATACTAATACAAAATAAGGGCCCACCAATAACATTTAATATTGATAAAATTGGTGTGCTGGTCCAGCACTTTACTGGGCTAAGCGTCGCCCTAAATGAACCGATCAATATTTTCAACATGAATCGGAATTTTCTTATAATTTTGGTTTTGCACTTATTGTTCACACAATCACACTTAAATTGAGGACCATTTCTCAGGCATTAATGGAATTACAAAAAGAAAACTACGGAGTACTCGTATGTACTCCCTCCGTCCCTTGATACAATGCTTCTTTTGAGCATTTATTCCTCACATAATAAAGAGAAAAAGACATTGTATTAAAGGAATGAGGGAGTATTATATTGTATGTATGAGCTCTAAATTAAGAGTTTGTTATGATACGATTATTTTCAGTTCAGTTTAAAGTATCATTTTATGTAATTTTTAATTTTTTTTTCCTTATTAAATACGAAGTATATACTTTTAGTTATAGTTAAAGGTATGCATCGGAGAATATAAAAATAAAAATATAATACCAACACGTAGTAAGTAAAAAGAAATGAAAGGAATACTTTGTAGTTTAATTGGTTCAAAGGGTAGTCGATCATATCATGTAGAACGTGGCGAAAAATCCCTAGTGAGAGGTTGGGCTGGAGTGATGAAGGGCAGCCATGCCTGAAAGTGTCGGCTACAATGTAATTCTAATTTTGATAAGCTTCATTTATGATGATAACATCCAAATCGTTGGTTACAAAATAAGTCAACTCTTATATCCAAACATATACTCCGTATTACCAAAGTTATCTTCCTCAATATAATTGAAGTACATACAAGTATACCCAAAAAAAAAAAAAATACAAGGATGTCAACAAAATCTATAACAAGACTAACTTTTTTTTTTTTAAAAAAAAAAAAATTGACTTAAGTTGGTTAAACACTTAAACATGTATAATTTAATACTATTTGTTTCTTGATAAACATGTTTAATTTAATACTTGTAGTGATCCAAAACGCCGATGAAAGACATTTTGTTGAATTATATAAAATAAAAGTTGAAAAAATACAAATAAGTGCTCACTCATGTGTATAATAAAGATTATAGTGACTTGTTAAGTAGATGATCAATATACAATATATACTTAAAGAGTAATTTATAACTGCTTAAGGGTCTGTTCATATTTACTAAACCGAATAAAGCTGAAATTATTATTTTATGAGTGAAGGAAATTAAGAGCTGAATTGAACTGAAATTAAGCTTAAGTAAACAGATCCTAAGTCAAATTGTAATTGAGTATCTTCATATCAATTTCCAAAGTATATTTTAAAATTACATTTAAAAAATTAATTGGAATATCCTTACTTTATATTTATTATATATTAATATAGTAAATTTATGACAATTGAATCAAATAAAAACATCCTTTCGACAAAGCTACAATCGTTGTTGCAAATCATACACTTTTCATACCCTCTTTCATATCGTTGTGAATGACAACCCTTTTTGACGAAAGGGTAAATCGATTTGTGGTAGTTGTAAAGAAAACTTTCATCTCATTGTAATCAAAGAATTAATTCTTTTTCGATCCGGTACAAATCTTTATCTTTACAACAACTTGTACCATACTAAACTCAAAAAATAAATACAGAATTAGAATAAGACCACCATAGGGACACTTACTACTCTCAAACCCACTATATGAGTACTTAATTACTACCTTCAAAGAGTACATGCATGTAGTTTTATTGAATTCAATCAAACATAAAGAAACTAAAGGAAAATGATAGCTATTTCCCATCTATGAAACACTATTTTTGAAGAACCTAGTAGAAAAAAAAAAAAAAAAAAAAAAAAAAAAAAAAAAAAAAAAGAGGAATCAACTATGCTTTTTTTATCTATAATTAGTTTGGGGTTTTGGCATAGTGTAACTAATACAAGTTTTTTATTTTTTTTTTAAACTTTTTTATTTTTTTATGTTTTTAGTAAAGGAGATATATAGACTTGTAAGTTGTAACGCATATATTCTTTTTTAACCTTGTGCTTTGTTTTTTATGGGGCCAAAACAAGAATAAGATATGGCTACGAAGTAATGTTTCGTGGGGGCAAGCTTGGGCAGCTCCATAGCTAATTTTGGTGATCCCACGACAGCTACAACATGGGAATTTAGAATTAAATTGAAGTGTTTGATGTTTTTATTTCTTGTTTGGACTTTAATTTGCTTTGAAACAAAAGAGGGTTTTGCTTGCAAATTATTAATTCCTAAGCTAGCTAGTTCCTATAATTCCTGAAATTTACAATATTTTGATTCACACTTGATTGATATGAAATACAATAAACGAAATAAAACGAAATCTAATATATATAAATAAAGTAGGCATTTTTCGGGAGCATTTGACGCGTCACATAAGAAAAGGTATTATTTTGTCCAATGAAAAGTTAGATTAATAATTTATTTTAGAATTAAAAAATTTACTCGCCACCTAAGCAAAAGTGACGAATAAGATTTAAGAATTTTGACACATAGTTAAAAACAACGAATAGTGAATAATTAAAATTTAAATTACTTTTAAAAACCAATAGTTATCTTCTCTAAAAAAACAATAAAAAAAACTAATAATAATTATCTTTTTTTACATATATGGATGCAAATTTTTAATCTCAAATATCTTTAATCTCTCCCTAGAAAATGTTGTAAAAGTCTGATTTTAATAATGTACTCATCAAGACGAATAAAACTAAATCTCATATGACTAATTTCCCATAATATTTTATAGTTAAACGATTATAAATGAGACTAACATTTTAAACAGAACGAGTATATTAAATAAACGCATAAGGCAAAAGACTTATTTTGATCAATTAAAAAACGAGATTTGTCATTTCTTTTTTGAATTATAAATTTAAATTGTCACAATTAGTGAATAAGGTTTGGGATTTTAAATTCAAGCGTCAGTGCGTCACATAAAATAAATAAAACAACAAAAGATATCTTTAGTGTTAAAATTAAAAAAGTATCTTATGATATTAGGAATTTTATCCATATATCTAATGAATGATCTTCATAAATATACACAATTTTAAATTAAATAAAATAATTACTAGAACCGTGCATCGCACGGGCTTACATCTAGTAATATTTATTAAAGTAAAATATCAGTTGCTATTAATAATAATTTAACTTATTATCAAAACTACTTCTATCCCTTGGCTCCAAAGATATTCTTAATTTGCTTTTTATTCTTTCAAAATCTATAGTGATAAATTCGTTAGGTTTTTCCTTGAATCTAAAGTTTTATATGGCCTTTATACAACACCTCGCTCTATCCTAATTACTTGAGATTAAGAAGATAATGAAATTAAAGTACTAGAGAAAGTCTCATGCATATATATAAGGAAACGTTACAAGTATTTTTCTTGACAATCTCTTATTCGATCTCTTCAAGTCTTACATCTATATATACTACATATACAATATAACTACGTACTATAGATATTTAACCCCATGATGTGCCGATCACGTTGAAGGTTGTCCAACTTTAGCACTTGAACCCTCATAACATCGATTATCCACCATGTGTTTTATAATGATTCCCTGAACAAAGCAAAAACATGAAAAAAAACAAAAACAAATTAAATCATTTACTCTTATATTGTGAATTTTTAAACAACTTAATTACATTACAAGCATTATATAATCAACAACTTTTTACAAAAACTAGTACTCCATGATAAATTAGCATGCAAATTTATCCATAGATAATTAAAGGCACTTGGATCAGTGTTTGTGTTCAATGTACTGAACCTTCCCTACTTTGAGGATGGTCTTCTTAACTTAACACAACAATACTATATTAACCTCTTAATTCAAAAGGAACTAAAATTGCAAGAGAAAAAAATTAACAAGATATGTACTTGCCTACGTACTTAGTTCAATCCTCCTCCACCACCACCTCCTCTGCCTCCTCCGGAACCGCCTCCTCCTCCTCTGCCTCCTCCTTGGCTACCTCCTTGACCTCCGCCAGAATGACCTTTGCCTCCTCCTTGACTTCCTCCTGAGCCACCTTTGCTGCCTCCTTGACTACCCCCTTGTCCTCCGCCGGAACCACCTTTGCCTCCTCCTTGACTACCTCCTTGTCCTCCGCCGGAACCACCTTTACCTCCTCCTTGACTACCCCCTTGGCTTCCTCCGGAACCACCTTTTCCTCCTCCTTGACTACCTCCTTGTCCTCCGCCACCTCCTTTACCTCCTCCTCCTCCTTGACCACCTCCTTTACCTCCTTGTCCCCCGCCTTGACCACCCCCTTTACCTCCTTGTCCTCTGCCTTGACCACCTCCTCTTGCCTGATCAATATCAAATTCTTCTTCTTCAAACCCTCCACCTCCTCCACCGCCTCTTCCTCCTCCTTGTCCTCCGCCACTTCCTTTACCTCCTCCTCCGCCTTGACCACCTCCTTTACCTCCTTGTCCCCCGCCTTGACCGCCTCCTTTACCTCCTTGTCCTCTGCCTTGGCCACCCCCTCTTGCCTGATCAATATCAAATTCTTCTTCTTCAAACCCTCCTCCACCTCTCCCTCCATGTCCTCCGCCACCCCCTCCATGTCCTCCTCCACCATACCCACCCCCTCCATGTCCTCCGCCACCATAACCACCTCCTCCGTGTCCTCCGCCATACCCACCTCCTCCGTGTCCTCCGCCATAACCACCTCCTCCGTGTCCGTTAATGTCTATGACCTCTTCTCCGCCACCTCCACCGCCACCTCCTTTACCTCCTCCAGAGCCACCACCTTTACCTTTGCCTCCTCCTTGGCCACCTCCACCTTTACCTCCTCCGGAGCCACCTCCTCCTATACCACCTTTACCACCACCTTGACCTCCTCCTATACCTCCTCCTATACCTCCTTTACCACCACCTTGTCCTCCTCCAGAACCACTTCCCTTACCTCCGGCTTGATTGATGTCAAACGCGGGAACTTCATCTTGTCCTCCTCCGCCGCCGCCTCCACCTCCTTTACCACCACCTTGGCCGCCTCCCCCTTTGCCACCTCCTTTGCCTCTTTGGTTAACTCCTTCCCTTGTGTCTTCTACAATCTCCCCATCAACTACATACGTACACATGCATGCAAATTATTATCACATATAATCGAATCATTATTTAAGTATCTGTACAAGTCATATATAACATTACATTATTACATAAAGTTATTTGTTTAAATTATTAAATTCCACTAATATAATTAATTAGAACATGGAGTTTATATAATAGAAATGAAAATGCATGCTCACCTTTTCCAAGTGAAGAAATGAAGAGAGCCGAACCAAGCAAAAGTCCTAGCAAAATAAACGTCTTGAACGTCATTATATCTTGTTTTGGTAATGTTTTGATGAAATATTGAAGTAATATACTTTACTAAAATGGTAATAAAGCCAATTTATAGGCCAACATTTTTGGGGTAAAATCGACATTCGGACGTAAATTGTAGTGTTGCATGTCACCAATAATCTAACACGTGGTGAATGTCATGTGAAGGTACGATGTTGGACGTGGTGACATGCCGAAGAGCAAGATTGACACTCGTTCACTTTGGCTGTATTTCATTTTGCTGATAGATTTTAATTACTTTCTACTCCATCAATGCATTTGTCGTGTTTATAAAATCATATCCTAATTTGTCCTCTCTCTGTTCGGAATTAATTTAATAGTTATATTATTGTTATTGACTTATTATGTTTATTGTACAAGATATCTCACCGATATTAAAGCTATTTTAGTCTAAATCATGATTAATATGTATGGAGCAGCATACTACTCTTATCGACATATAGTCATAATAAACTAATTACTTGGAGTACCTTAAACTATATTTTACAAAAATATAAAAATATGACAATTTTTTTGCACATCTTAAATTATTTATGAATTGATCAACTAGTATTTAGACTAATTCCATATTATTATTATTATTATTATTATTATTATTATTATTATTATTATTATTATTATTATTATTATTATTATTATTATTATTATTATTATTATTATTATTATTATTATTATTATTATTATTACGGAGTATTATTATTATTTTTTTAGAAGGGAAAATACACAAAATGTTAGTCATCTCTTCTTCTGATAGTGAAGATAGCAACCCTAACTTGTTAAATAATAGAAAATATTGAAAAAAAAATTGCTATCTAAAAAAGATTCAATAAATAATTAATTGTTTATAAACACTGCAACACCTTTATTTCATTTTCAGGAAATTTTAAAATAAAATAAAATTATGGAGTATTATTTGTCGACAAAAAGACATGAACCTACCCTCAATATCATACACTATTACATTGAGAAAGAATTGAACTACATTAAGGTAAAGTCGAGAATGATGAGGCTTAATAAATTGGTATATAGCTTTCACAACCAACAAAAAAGAAAAAAAAATCTAGTATACAGACAAAGACACATGCAGTGAGACATGTCTCGGAAAATTTAAGAGATGCAATCTAAATTTTTTGCCAAATACAAATTTTGGCTGCATCCGCAATCAAAAGATAGAATTCATACAAATTTAAGGAGGTTTTATCCCAAAACATATTATATCACAGGTGTTGTTTGGGAAGTCAACTTCAACACTCCCCCTTACGTGTAAGGTCACTTTAATAGTTTAATCCGTCACATGTGATGTGTTTCGTGGGGCTAGAGCACATTTTTCATTCTCTTTTCTATTATATGGAAGATCGATGTTTTATACTCCCTTCATTTAAGTTCTACTCACTTTCTGTTTTCATTCGTTTTTTTGTCTAAAATCTACTCACTTTTACTTTATTCTTGATGATATTTTTTTATTCATTTTTTTTATCACTCATAATCCCACTTTATAGGACCTAATTTAATTTTTTTAATAAATCCCTTTCTATCTCTTTTTTCTATGATACAAAGACACTGACATGGATGGTCGCCATTTTCTTAAACACAAGCTGACATGACAATTTTACAAACATGCAAACTTATTTGGAACACATAAGGGTCTGTTCCGATTGACTGAACTGAACTGAACTTATTAATTAGTGATTTTTAACTACGGATTAGGGATCTTTGATTATTTATTGATTATTTATTGCTATACATATGTGTATATACAAATGTACATATTAAAATATTTACGAAAAATATACTATATAATTATAAAATTTATGGAAAATATATTAAAAACTTGAAACCTCTAAACATTTTAAACACATATAGTATTTAATTTAAAAATAAAATAGTATTATGACAAAAGAACACAAAAACACTTACATGTATCTAACTCATTATTATTATTATTATTATTATTATTATTATTATTATTATTATTATTATTATTATTATTATTATTATTATTATTATTATTATTATTGTTATTATTATTATTATTTATTGATGATTATTATTATTATTTATTGATTATTAATATTAGTATTATTATTTCAATTATTATTGTTATTATTATTATTATTATTATTATTATTATTATTATTATTATTATTATTTATTGATTATTATTATTATTATTATTATTATTATTTATTACTTATTGATTATTATTATTATTATTATTGTTGTTGTTGTTGTTGTTGTTGTTGTTGTTGTTGTTGTTGTTGTTGTTAATATTATTACTATTATTACTTTTATTATTATTGTTGTTGTTGTCGTCGTCGTCGTCGTCGTTGTAATAAGAGCTTAAAAGAATGAAATTTGGCTTTATATTATTAGCAATATCATTAGACATAAATTAAGAGCTGAACTGAACTGAACTGAACTTAGGGCTGTGCACGGTGCGGTTTGGTGCGGTTTGGATCTCAAACCGCACCAAACCGCAAAATTGCGGTTTGTGATTTTTTCAAACCGCACCAAACCGCAATTCTATACAAATCGCACCAAACCGCACCGCAAAATACGGTTTGGTGCGGTGCGATTTGCGGTTTTTTCCATAATTTTTTTACCTCACAAATAATGATTATTTGCTAATCTTTTGTTATGAAATTTTTACTTGGAAACTGTACAACTATGCAAATAATTCAATAAAGAAGTAGTGCTTTACTTCAATGTTAATAGTGACCCAGTAACATGCCAAGGCAAACATGGAGCAAAATCATTAAGTAAACCACAACCACTCCATTACAACTCCAAAGCACAAGAAACGGAAAGTAATAAGAAAGGAAAACTTTGGTTTTCTTAATAATGACCCAGACAATTCAGTACATATAAATACAATATAAGAGTCTTCTTTCCATATAAGAGTCTTTGCATTAAATTGCAGATTGCGGTGCGATTTGGTTTGAAATTTTTTTGAAACCGCACCAAACCTCAAAACCGCGGTTTGGTCAAATTTGAAAACTGCACTGTAATTTCCAAACCGCAAACCGCACCGTAGCGCAAAATTGCGATTTGGTTTGCGGTTTGGTGCGGTCTAGACCGTACTCTGCACAGCCCTAACTGAACTGAATTGAACTGAACTGAACTGAACTAAATTTCAACGGAAGAGAATAGACCCTTAACTTGTACCAAAAAAAAGAAAAACAAAAGAAAATTAAATATGGTAGAATGAGAGATATTTCTTGAAAGTTTGTATAATTGTATCAACAAAGAATTAATTATGTATTAATATATATTCACAATAATTCACAAACATTATTATAGTACGAGTAGTTCAAAAGGGAGTTACTTCTTCATTAAAAGAGTAAAGATCTCAAAAAAAATGTTTAAATTGCTTAAGCTATCTTTAAAAGTTTTTAGTCACGTGCGATGATAAAAGATTGGAATTGACGAATTGTTAGTTTGTGACATATAAAAGAGAAAATAAGAGAGATGTCTATTATGAACTAATTACTGTTAAATTAGATTCTATAATGTCTTGGGTTATATAATTATATTATATTCAATTTATCTTAACTCGAGTTGATAAATAGGGTACTAATATAATAAATATTCGGGTTGGGTTGATTAAGATTAGGTTGACTTGTGTCATCGGATCTATAATGGTTTGGGATGAATTCAGGTCCGGTTTAACACATGTCATATTGAATCTCATGTTCAATCAAGCTAGTTAGATAGCAAGTTTGACTTAGGCCCGGTTCTCTTCACCTTAATTTTGCTGAACTAAAATTATTTTTACTGAATTGAAATTATTTTTGCTGAACTTAAATTATTTTTACTGAACTTAAATTAAATTTACTGAACTGAAATTATTTTTGCTGAACTAAAATTATTTTTACTGATTTTCTATTATAATTCTTCTTTAAGAAAACTAAATTTTACTGAACTGAACTTATTTTTTTTGAACTGAAATTATTTTTACTGAACTGGAATTATTTTTACTGAACTGAACTTATTTTTACTGAACTGAAATTATTTTTACTTAATATTATTTTTTTAAAGTGAATAGAACAGGGCCTATATTTAGGTAAGGCTCAGATCAAATGGTTGTCAACTTTTGATAAATCTAATTGCATGGGTAGAATATAATAAAAATGGAAGGAAAAGAAAGAAACTAAGGGTTTTCTATATAGTAACCTTGTTAATTTCACTTGTTTACGTTGTGCCCCAACATATATCACTTTCCACACTGTAACCCTATTATACATTTTGTTTCCATACGGTAACCTTGTCGTTATCCCGCCGTTAAAAATTCCGTTAATGGGGCCCACTCTCAATTTTTAATATTTTTTTTTGTTGATTTGCACGTTGGAAAATATTGCACTAAAGGTTTTCGGGGCTATTTTGGTGTTCAAGGGTCCAAATTGAGCTCAGGTTTTCGGGGCTATTTTGGTGTTCAAGGGTCCAAATTCTCGTTTTTCTTATTAAGTAATGTCTCGATTTACGTGTTCACGTTTTAATACTTATAACGAGGCATTTACATTATTTTTTTGTAAAATCTGAGTTCAATTTGGATCCTTGAGGAACAAAATAGCCCCCCCAAAACCTTTAACGGAACATTTTCCAGCGCGCAAATTGAATAAGAAAATATTAATAAACTGAGAGTGGGCCCCACTAACGGAATTTTTGACGGCAGGATAACGACAAGGTTACTGTATGGAAACAAAATGTATATTGGGGTTACAGCGTAGAAAGTGATATATGTTGGGGCACAACGTAGAAAAGCGAAATTAACAGGCTTACTATATAGAAAAACCCAAGAACAACGTATTTCCACATAATATATATTATGAATGGATAACAATGAATTGAAGTCCATAGGAAGTCCACATTAAATGCATAATAATGCTATGAATCCTACTAAAAAAAAATGCAAAACGATTTCTTATCCCTCTACTAATTTAATTTTATTAACAAAAGGCTTCGATTTGTCTTGGCAATCAGTCAATTGAATGATCATTTATACAACAAACCTTAATTAAAATTAGGGTATTTATCAGAAAAAAGTACATCTTTTATTCTTGTGGCAAATATATCATTACAATTAGGTATAGGCTATAGTATATAATTTTATAGTTATTAGAGGATTTAAATTGGTCTAAAATAAATCAATGAGTGAATGTTTAGAATTCTCACTTAAGGTGGCTTTTATGCGTAAGTATATACATAGAAAAATCAAATACTAGAAAAAAAAAAAAAAAAAAAAAAAAAAAAAAAAAAAAAAAAGAAGTATATTCCGTATGTCTCTAATCAATAATTGAGCTTTGCATTGATTCAAAATCCAATTTTCATGGTTAAAACATATTACTCCGTAATACTAACCTAAATTTCTCCAAAATTCTTAAAATGAAACGTAGATAACAATACTTTAATTGTTAATTTCAATTCAAATTTTCGCCAATCCATGAAACTAATGCTAATGATATGCTCTTACAATTATAACAAAATTGAAAAAATATAAGATCAAATTAACAACATATACAATGAAACTCTTTCAGCTACATGCAGTGAATGGCAGATTGCATTAAATATTTGTTCATGATAATAAATTAGATCTATGAATTCAACATCCAACTACAACTAAACTTTGATCATTAAATTAAATCTGGTACGGTACGTTCCTGCACCATGTTTCCTAGGGCTTATTATATAAGGTATGTAAATGAGCACAATATTCATCATCAAAATTTCATCAATCAAATCATCAAATTTGTTGAGTTTTTATTAAAAAAATGGTTTCTAAGGTTTTTCTTCTATTGGCTCTTTTGGCTATTGTTTTTCTCATCTCTTCTGAGGTTGCAGCTAAAAGACTTGACTCAAACTTCCACTAATTCCGAACAAATTAAGGGTAAGCTAGTTTTCCATAATCTTTCATTTCTCAAAAACTACAAAATGTAAATAACCTAGCTAGTCGAGTGACATGATCGTTACATATTTTAAATTCAGGTCGGAGTCATTTTTATAAAAATGCATATGCTGCCATGTAAAAGTTACATTAAAACTATTCTTCGTGCGCGTATAACTTTTAATGTCTAATAATAATGACTTATTGTGGAGTATAGTGTCGTCAGTTCGTCACATACTCACATGAGATATGTAGACCTTTGAAACTTTTTCCTCTCATCCTTAATAATTGCAATAGTTTGATTGACAATGTAGGCTTGTTCTCTTTAAATTATTTTCAGTTTAATTTAGCTTCAATAAGTTCAGTTCTTAATTTTTTTCTCTCATAAAATATCCAGTTCAGCTCAGCTCACTTCAATCAATCATAGCAGGCCCTGCACATGTTAATGTGCAACTTTTTAACTACTTCATATATTATTAATAAGAAGTATAAAAAGTTGATATAATAATGTCTATATAAATAAAGATTAATCCAAAAATATATTACATAACAGCAAATGTATTTTTATATGTTGGTAAAAAAAATAATAAAAAAAAAATTATAGTTAAAGTAAGTATATAAATTGTGTAAAAAATCAAATGGTTGCAATTATCATAAAATGAAATTTTTTAAATTACTACCCAAAAATGTAACCATTTTCGAAGTAACCACCTATTTAATTTTTTTAATTTAAATTACCACCCCTTAAATTAAATAAATGCTCAAATTACCACTTATTTTAAAAATCCGGTGGATTTTCCGTCTGTGGGCCCCACCTAACGCTAATTTTGACCCTTTTGACTGATTTTTCTCTTTAAAACGCTCTCCTAATTTCAATTCACATTTTTCCCTTTGGAATTTGGTAGAATTTAGTGAAGGAAATGTGAATTAAAGTTTAGAGAGCGTTTTAAAGAGAAAAATCGGTGGGAAAATCAGTCAAAGAAAGTGTTAGGTGGAGCCTACAGACGGAAAATCAACCGAATCTTTGAAATGAGTGGTAATTTGAACATTTATTTAATTTAAGAGGTAATAATTTAAAATAAAAAATTAAACGGATGGTTAGTTCTAAAATTGTTACATTTTTGGATGGTAATTTAAAAATTAACCTAAAAAAGAAGATAATTTTTGTACAACCATTGTAAATGCTAGGTCAACTTACACTTGTGGCTCTCTAAACAACCAAAAAAAAAATTGTAAATACTAGGTAAAATTAAATTATTAATAAAATAAATTATAAGTAACTTATTTTGAAGCCAGCACCCATTAGAGTAATTAATAATGTTCATGTGTGAATGTAACAATGTTAATATTTTGCAGATAAGAAAGTTGACACCAAAGTGGAGGATGCCAAGCACGGATACGGTGGATACCCCGGCGGAGGATACGGTGGCTACCCAGGTGGTGGCTATGGAGACCGAGGTGGCGGATATGGACGCCGAGGTGGATATGGTGGCGGAGGAGGATACAGAGGCCGTGGAGGATATGGAGGCCGAGGCGGATACGGAGGAGAATGCGGGCGTTACGGTTGCTGCTACCGTGGATACAATGGTTGTAGAAGGTGTTGTGCTTATGCTGGTGAGGCCGTTGATAACAAGCCTCATAACTAGCACTGTCAAAACGGTTTGACAGTTCGGTTTCGGTTCGGTTTGAAATCGGTTCGGTTTGAAATCGGGTCGGTTTGAAATCGGTTCAAATGTCTTACGGGTCGGTTTTGGTTCGGTTTAAATAATTATCGGTTCGGTTCGGTTTATTCTTGAACGGTTTAAATTCGGTTCGGGTTATAAACGGTTCGGTTAGTAAACGATTCGGTGCAAACGGGTTGCGGTTTGTTGACGGTTCGGTGTAAACGGTTTTTAACCCGGTTTAAATTCGGTTCGGGTTGTAAACGGTCCGGGTTGTAAACGGTCCGGGTAGTAAACGGTTCGGTGCAAACGGGTTGCGGTTTGTTAACGGTTCGGTGTAAACGGTTTTTAACCCGGTTTAAATTTGGTTCGGGTTGTAAACGGTTCGGTGCAGACGGGTTGCGGTTTGTTAACGGTTCGGTGTAAATGGTTTTTAACCCGGTTTAAATTCGGTTCGGTTTGTAAACGGTGCGGGTTGTAAAAATTCCAGGTAGTAAACGGTTCGGTGCAGACGGGTTGCGGTTTGTTAACGGTTCGGTGTAAATGGTTATTATCCCGGTTCAAACAGTTTCAGGTTGGAAACGGTTCGGTTGTTTTTTGGTTTAGTTTTATTTTAGTTCGGTTATAACTGGTTCGGTTCGTTCACGGGTTTGGTTCTTCTACGATTTAACATTATTTAGATCGGTTTTATTTCAGATTTACTAAATTACGGTTCGAGTCTGTTTTTGATTTCAAAAAATTTTGTACTACTTTCTAACTTTTTGCTAGTTAACAAGTTTTATATCAAGCCGAGACTTCATCACTTCATATTGAGGCATCATATTATATGCAAATTCTCATTAATTTTATAAATACATATCATGTTATGATTTAAGTTTAGCTATACTGATCTTACTAGTTTATTATGAAGTAGATTATAAAAGTTTAGTGCATTAATGTATTATTGTTTTACTATCAGATTATTATCTGCTTCTGATTTGATCATTTAGTTAATAGTGTCATAATCATGATTTGATGAGTTGTTGTGACATCGAAATTTGCAATTTGGTATTCGATACTTAATTAGTCAACAAGACTGATAATTAAGACTCGTTTATCATTATATATTTGCATAAAGTTATACATGAAGATATTACAGAGTAGTTTGATTTGTATAATGAAAGAAAACATTAATGAAGAAGAAGGTAATGTTGATTCCTTCAATCGATTATACAGATACATAACATATAACCATCTCATATTCTCATAGTTAGATATTATTAGTATAAAGGGATGAGAAACATAAGATTATTATATTTTTGTATATCCTTTACTGGTTTACCCTTAAGGCTTAAGTCACTAATTAGTAATTAGTAATTACTTAATTAGACTAACAAGTTAATCAGAAAGAGTAACTTTTAACTTGAGTCTAGTAGATCAAATACTGAAATGGTATTAGTATATTACCGAGTATGATAGTCTAGTACGCTGCTAATCTGTTATGCAGCTATGCTAAATTGACAATTGCTCATATAGTCATATTAGTCAATCACTCATGTAGACATAACTCATATCTAATTAAGTAATTTGTATTTATGTACTAATCTACTAGTCAACTATATCATTTATAAGTTTACACGATTACAAGTGTATTGCTTATAGGTACAGCTAAACTGATATAAATATAACCATATAACAAATCCGTAGTACTTCTAACTCTCTAAGATATGACATCATTATTTATTGAACAATTTTCGATTTTTTATTAATCGCAACGCCTAGAAATTACACGCTAACCGATTCACATTTTATAATTTAAAGAACTTAATATTTTAATGTGTGTGTTAAAAAAAATGATAAAAGCTGATATTATGAAAGTGAATATCGTTTTATCGGGATCCGAGAAATGTAATTAGTTTTTTTTTAAGTCATGTAATTAATTAATTGTATAAAAGTTTGTTTAATGTTATTAAAATAAAATTAAAAATTTTGATTTTTACAAAGTGGAAAATTAATTTCATTTTTTTGGTTGACAATTTCAACAAAATATGGTGGGAAATTTCCCTCCAAAAACCAAAAGGAAAAACACATTTTAGATTTAGAATTTAGATATTTTGATTCTTTAATAATTAAATAAACATGTGGTTCATATATTATGCAAAAGAGAAAAAAAAAAAAAAAAAAAAAAAGTGAAACGTGAAACTGTGAAAGACTGAAAGGCAATTAGGTTCTTCATTCATCCTCTTCATTCATCCTCTTCATTCCACAGCATTCACCGTTCTTCTTCTTCATCCTCAAATCGAAGCGTTGAATCCTCACTCACTCTCAAGTTCTCAACTCTCAAGCTCTGAACTCTTAGCCTTCAATAGCTCAAAGGTAAATTTTAGTTAATTGTTTTTGTTTTCGTTTCGTTTTTTTTGATTTTTTTTTCGATCTCTCCATTCTCGTTTTTTTTTTCATTCTCCAGTTCTCCATCTTCAAATCTTCCTCTCCTTCAACCCGTCACTGCTCAAAGGTAATTTTATGTTAATTTTTTTGTTTTCATTTCGGTTTTATGTTGCTGATTCGTTGTTTGCAGGATTTGCATGTCTTTATTTTTTGATTTTTACTTCTGATTTGTTCATATAATTTCATATAATTTCTGATTTGTTCATATAATTTCTGATTTTTTGATGTTGTTCATGTAATTTTTAATTTTATTGTTCTTGTTGTTCATTTAATTTCTGATTTTTTAATTTTATTGTTCTTGTTGTTCATTTTTTGTTATATCTATTTGTGAGGTGTTCTGGCCTTACCAGCTTTGGCTATGCTCAGTTCTGATCAGGGTTGTGGTTGTAGTACCATGAGCAACAATTGAGTTGATTTGGTTACCTTATTCATGCTCGTGGTTTCTTTTCGTGTTATTAATTGTGCTTGGTTTTTTTCAGGCTGCTGTGTTGTTGCTGGTCTGCCTTTGTGACTGTTTGCTGTTTGTTGAGCATTTAAAATGTATGGCTTTGTCTATAATGCTCTATTAGTCTTCAAATATACTGAATGCTATCCTTTGTTCTATCAGCTGCATTGTTCTCTCATTAGTGTTTCTGTTTATGTGGGTTAATGCTGAATGCTAGCAGGATTTTTTTATTTAAGTTTGGGTTTTGTTTTGTTGCAAAAGTGCAAGTGCATTCAGATAGGAGTTGTCTAATAGTGTTTAGTATATTTTAGGACTGAATTGTAGATGGACTACCTCAGCTTAGAGCATGTAGTACTAGCTAGGGTCTGTCCTGTGCTGCTGCTGTTCTAATGTCTGGCCAGATCTGCTAGATGTACAAGGCTAGATTGTAGGATCTGCTGGGTGTTTTCTGCCCTGTTTAGAGCAGAGTCTTTCTGGCCATGGTTTGTGCTGTCCTAGTTGATGTCTCTGCTGCAGGCTGGGTGCTGGGGTTGGTTGCTGCTGGTTTTCTAGGGTATTGCAGCTGTGGTTTTGCTGTCGTCTTGTGTTAGCTGGGCTGTGTTGTCTGTCTGTTGCTAGGCTAGGTTGCTGGTGTGCTTTGCTTGAAGCAAGCAGGTCCGGAGCTGCTGTGTTAATTTGCCTTTTTTTTTTATTTGCCCTTAATTTGCCTTTTTTTTTCACTTGATTTATACTATTGTGTTTTTGTTTTTTCAGCAATGGAGCAAGAGTTTATTGGTTTTGATGAGGATTCTACTGTAAAGAATCAAGATTCTACTGTTCAGAATCAAGATTCTACTCAACGTACCACTAGTGGTAGTAAGCGTGGACGAACATCAGATGTTTGGAGGTATTACACCTTTTTTGATAAGATGGTTGGTCTTGCTCCGATAAAATATGCTCGATGCAATGTTTGCGGTAATGAATATAAAACTCCAGGTAATGCTGGTACTTCAACTTGTAAAGCTCATACTAAGACATGCATGAATAAAAATCCACACCATCCTGGAAATCATGAAAGTGGTGTTGAGCTCCTGTTTAATCAAACACGTCATTTACAATTGCTTGCTAGAGCTATAATTTTGCATTCCTATCCTTTAAGTATTGTGGAGCATCATGGCCTTAGGGAAGTTTTTACGAATTTGAACCCCAACGTGAATCATGTGTGTAGAAACACTATTTTGAAACATTGTATTGATGAGCATGATAAGTTTAAGTCTTTGTTGTTGCAATCTTTTTCGGGAATTGAAGGTAGAGTTAGCTTCACTTGTGACTTGTGGACAGCATGTACTAATCAAGGTTATCTTACTTTAACGGCACATTATGTTGATAAAAATTGGTGTCTTAGGTCTAAAATTCTGAATTTTAGATATTGTGGTCCTCCTCATACTGGTGTTGAGGTAGAAAAATTTGTGTTAAAACTTATTGGGGAGTGGAACCTTCAGGGTAAAGCTTTTGCAATGACTGTTGATAATGCTCGATCCATGGATGTTATGGTTAACCTTTTGAAGAAAGATTTAATGTTGACTTCTCCTCTTCCTTGTAATGGTAAATTTTTTCATATTCGATGTTCAGCTCATGTCTTGAACATTATTGTTCAAAGAGGTTTAAAAGAAGTTGATAGTAGTGTTCAAAAATTGCGTGAGGTTTGTAAATATATTGATTCTTCAGATTCTAGACTCACTCAATTTGAGCATGCTCTTCATGAGGTTAACTGTGTGTTTAATGGAAAGTTACGTCTTGATGTTGTGACTCGTTGGAATGCCACATATACGATGATTCGAAAAGCTTTGGAAGCAAAGGAAGCCTTGAAATTGGTTATTGATAGGTTTATAGGTTATGAATTCAAACTTTCGAATGATGAATGGGATACCCTTACTAAAATATGTAATTTCCTAAAGCCATTTCATGAAATCACTGTGTTATTTTCAGGTTCAGAATATCCTACTGCAAATTTGTATTTTGCTAGTGTTTTAAAAATTGAGCACACAATAAGTAAAGCCCATATAGATCCTAAACTTGCACCCATGGCAAAAGCTATGCTTGAAAAGTTTGAGGGCTATTGGGATGAATATAGTTTGATCCTATCAATTGCTATTGTTCTTGATCCTCGTTATAAGCTTGT